ATACATATATTTTTTTTTTTTTCTTTTGAAAACAATGGCAAAAAAAATTTTAGTCACGCTATATATACATTAAAACTGAAATTTTATGCCCTACTGTGAGTAATACTTCACAAAATAAAAAAGTCATTCGAAATTAAACTAAAATTCATTAAAAATATTCTCTTTCAACCTAATGAATGGAAAAATCACAACTAAAACTTTTTTACGAACTCTCTTTTATCTTTTTTTATTTATTTTTTATTTAAGCTTGAGGGCTTAGATAAAACAAAAGTATTGAGAGCTTAATTTATATTTTTCTCTTAAAGAAAAAGGAACTTAGAAACTTTTTGAAAATTCGCAGTGATAAAAATTTTAGGAACTTAATATGTTCTACTGAAAAATTTAGATCCCTACTGGTCCTATCCTTAAAAACTGCACTACAGTGCAAACGGCTCTCTCCTTTATATTTCTACTATTTTCTATAATCATTGCTAATTTTATTTTATTTTTGCTGTAGAATTCCAGTACTTGATAGAGAAAGTATAGTGTGAAATAATTAAAAGAGATGGCAGCACTATGTACAATTTTACTTTTGAGTTAAATAAATTTTGGTTCTTTTTGTGATGTTACGCTGTCCGGATACAAACTATATTATTGGAAATAAGAATGCCAAAAAAAAGTATTAAAAATGACTTATGAGTAATTGGAGAACATTCCTAGAATGATTCTAGTAATTAGGTCGAAATATATATACATATATTTTTTAAGTGGCAAAATATGCAAAAGAAGAAACTGTATGATGTATCACTGAATGCTGTTCGTTTTACGTTTAACTGCTCACGTGTTGTGGTTAAAAATCATTCTGCATCGTTAGAAAGATGCGTAGTGCAATATTTCTTCGCCAAAATTAAGTAATTATGAGAAGAAAGGAAATAATAATAATTTTTTTTTTCAAATAACAAACCTTATTGCATTAAAACTAAGATTTTAGTAAAGCTCGCATTTTATGTACATATTAATGAACGAAATAACTTATTACTGAAATAAACAATCTGAATATATTTTATCCTTGATTTCGATTTATGGAAATAAGTTTTTGTGGCCTTATAAGAAATTTTGTTATAAAATTACTTATTTTGTCGATAATAAAATATTTAATTTTTAGATATCAGATAAACAGTTTTGTTTTGCTATCATTTAATTTCAAAACTTTAATTATAGGTTGTATTAAAAATAAACATGAAAATTTGTATCAAAATAAAGTACCTACATATAGATACTAATAGAGAGTGATAGTATAGTTATGTAATTTAAATTTGAAATGATAAAATATTTAGTGCTTCCATCTACTGTTGCAAATAGTAACCAAAACAGTTAAATTTAATTTTACATGCTCGCTAAAGCCCTGAATGGTAAGCATCAACTTGGTGGTTCATACCAGACAAATAATAGTGCATTCCTTTATTTCTTGCAGTATAAAATTTTTTTTAACTTTGAAGTAGAAGTTATCTTTTTTAATAATGCTGCAGCATTATTAGGAATGATAATGTCTGCAGAATTTTACTGGTAAAATTTTATCTGAAAAATTCTGCACATTCTGATTGAGCAACAATATTATCTTTATATTTCAACAGATATTTCAGACTTGTGTAATTAACAGCCATTGCCCTTTATGACATATGTTTGGTCGTGAAGTTTCAATATTCCCTCGCTTACCCCAAACTCGTTTCCCCTCTGACAATCAATTTGAAAAATGTTCTTAAGATAGATAGACGAAATGATTAAGAAATAAAATAAATAAATAATGAATGTCAAAATTAATCAGTTATAATATAAACAAATATGAAACAAAAATTAATTATTTACTTTTAAATTATTTTAACGATAAAATAAAAGGAAACTTAACACGAATAAAATAATATAAGGTATTTAAAAAAAATAATAACAAGTCTCATAGTAAATTATTCTAATCAAAAAACTGACAAGAAAGCGTTAAAAAATTAATTGTTTTAAATTTTGTTGCTGCAAGCTTGTTAATTATTTTATTTCTTAGAAATAAATATTTTTTTATTAGAAACGGATTCAAGATATAACAAAAAAAAAAAAAAAAAAAAAAAAAAAAAAAAAAAAAAAAAAAAAAAAAAAAANAAAAAAAAAAAAAAAAACGGAACACTTTAAGCAATTGCAATAGGTCATGCTATGACAAGAAAAGTTTGTAACAAATTTGGATTTTAATTTTGCATAAAGGAATTCCTATTCCATTCATGAAGAGCATGTAAAACGCGAGTTATAGGTACATTTTTTTAATTACGAGCGTCACATGCGCATAAGGAAAAAACATTGAGCCGAAAAATTATGCGCTCCCATTGACTAAAAATGGATTCAAATGCCCCAAAACGATTTTTTTTCTATCTTGAGTTCTACACGTAACTAAAGAAGTTCTAACAAAGTTTATAATTCAAAAAAAATTCTCCCTGAAATAGTAAATTTTTTTAATGTTAAAAGTTTTAAACGTGTTTATAAGTGTTCCATCACTAGGGAAACGAATTTAGTTAAGTCAACTTTCATTTTGTTAATTTTTCTAAAATTTTTGATTAAATGCTTACGAGTTCCTCGAAAGCCCTTTATTTTGAGCTTTGTCAACGAGTTGAGATTGTTATATTTTCTGCAAAGGAAAAAAAACTACTCACTTGCCCCTCTCCCTTTCTGACTATTCTAAAATAGGTAATAAATGCCGTCAATCTTCTTTCTGATGACACAAAACAAAAATGTTCGTCATGGCTAAAACATATTAGTGGAAATTGCTGAAAAAGTTTCGTTAGTAACTGTTATTTCAAATCATGTGCTAATGTCTAGAATCGT